CACACACACACACACACAAACATATGCCACAATGTTATAATGATAGTCACAGCTTGAGTCACAGCAGTCTTCATTGTGGAAAACTGTTACACAATAAAACAGTACTGATTATATTACAGGGCAGGAAATCAGATACAGCAAAAGCTATAATGTAACTGTTTATTACTTGTATCATGGCTCTCAATTTAAAAATGTGGGAGGACTAAGGTTTGAGATTAAGAGAACCTTTGTCTTTGCGGATTGCATCACATCCTAAATAATACCAAAATGTTGGACAAAATTGAGGCACTAAATCATAATAGGGCGGCCCCATGATAGAGATGCATTGTTGCTGCATTCTTGGAAATTGACTTAAAAAGGAAACAAAGATCAGCAAATGCAGGAGCTAGTCGCAGTACTGGTGTACTGGCCAGCGTTTGTTCTGCTCACTCAAAGTTATCTCTTGTCATACATTATTAGTAACCAGCTGACAGAGGACAAATGCCATAGCCACAAATAATTTTATGTACATGTGCATGTATTTCTTCACATAACAATCTTCCTGACGTTTCCACAACAAATGTTTCACAATTAAAGCCTTAATAAGAAATGGGATGGCTTAGTATAAAGGGAATTTAATTAAACACAGATATAGGAAATGTTGAGGCTGTGTAAACATTATCATGCACTAACTCAAAAGGGACTAAAATATGACTATAGTTGTCAAAAAAAGGAATGACGTATATGATCAATTTAAGCAGGTGAGGTAAATAAAGACCTGCCACAAGAAGAAAAATAATGTGTTTAAATGTCATCTTTTTTTCCCCCACAAAAAAACCCACTAGACAGACCAGATAAAAAAAAAATATTTTGAAATCCCTGGAGCCTCTGAAGGTAGCCTGCAGCTAACGGCAGCTTCAAAGTTGGAATGTTTGCTTGCTGTGCTCGAGCTGACATTGCAAATCAATCATCACATCAATATGACAGCTCTGACCAATTTGTCAGTTTGTTTTCATGGGCTCTCTGGCACAAAATAAGGTTTATGATAAACGTCTTTTATGATAAATGTGGCAATTCTACTTCCTCAGGGGAGAAAAAAAGTGTTTGCTGTGCTCTGGCACCGCACTAACCCCTGTGCATATCACTATAAAATAATGGTGTGTCCACCAGGAGTCTGTAGATTGCTTGATGTGAACAATTTCAGCAGCTACAGAAAGCAAACTGGCCTGCATTTAACAAGAAAAAAAAACAACTATGGGAGAAAAGCCAGAATTTATGAAACGGGCCTGTTTTTTTGTGTTAATCATCCGTTATTCATCTTGTGACCCCTTAGATATATCTTTTTGACCTAATGGATGAGTCATAAACCCAAATTTGGGAACCACATGAAGAAGCAATTCGTAGCGGCAGCTACATGAGTCATGTTAAAGGGATACTTATTGTCCTCTCTGCTGAGCATTAGATAAGAAAATCAATACCACCTTTATATAACATCGTAATTAGGAGCTTTAGAGGACCTGGAAGGTATTTTTTGTAACTTTGGACAGAACCAGGAAATCAGTTTTCCCATACTTCCAGTCTTTATATTACTCTACTCTAGACACCTCTTAAATTAGCTTTAATACTATTTAGTGAAAGAATGGCGAATGAAAAAGAGCTTAAAATATTATTTTATAAAATGTTCTGTCACCTTCAATCAGCTTGAGTTAAAACAGGCCCTCAAAACAATTATGGATCCAAAAATCAGCACAAGAAAACCTTGAGAGCCAGACTGAGACAAGAGGCTTGTTAGGATGCATTTGAGTACAAAAGTGTGTGATATAGTGCGCACCTCGTCTGAGGAGCCATTCTCCACCCTGAAGCGTCCCGCCCTCTGAATGGCCCCATCTGCATCACTGGATATCAGCTGAGAGGAAGACAGAGAGAGACATAGTGAGAGGGAGACATGGTCAAAATGAGACACATGATAAACAGTGACTTGTGGCAGACAGTAATAAACCGGCTATAAATACACCAGAGCCGGCTGCACTCACAGAAAAAAGAGGAACCGTGGTAAAACATCACCTCCATGTGACAACAGCAGCATTAGCAACCCCTTTCCATGAATATGTTACCAACTAACCCTCTTCACCCTTATTCACTCAAGTCTCCCTTCACTTTAGAAACAGTTCTTAACTTTTAAACTTTTCTCCTAATTTTCCTCAGGCACCCTCTACTTATCACCACAATTATCTGTCTCTTGCTGACTCACCTCTTACTACTGCAGCACTAGAGAGGAGACATCATGAGATGAAATGGGAAAGTTAATAGTGTGGAGACTGAGTGAAACAAGAGAAGACAAAGCCTGAGAGCAGCTCAGCTATCCTGTCTCACTGTGTACAGCTTCCAAAAACGGTCCCATATTTGGGCAAATTTTGATGCTTAGTCACTCTCTTGCAAAGAGTTGCAGCTGATTTTTGTGCAAAGTCAGTGATTCCAAATATTACCTAGAATCATCATCACGTCACCATTTCCATTTAAGCATTTCAGACCTGAGGTGTAGTTATAGTTTTCTAGCTTGCTAATTCACATTTCACAGCACTATGTGCACTCCCTGTAAACAGCCCATGATTCAGTAACTTGTAGAACCACCTTTAGCAGCAATAACTTAACAGTCTCTCACATCACTTTGGAGGAATTTTGTCCCACTCTTCTACACAACATTGCATCAGTTTATTGAGGTTTTTCAGGCAACCATTCACCGCACGCTTAAGATCCCAAAATCACATTTCATTTGGGTGGAGGTATAACAACCCAAATAATGACGCCTCCACCGCCGTGCTTGGCAGTTAGTGTGAGGTGTTTGTGGTGATATGCAGAAGTGTTGTGGTTCGTTCAGACGTACCATTGTGAACATGAGCTTTGCTGGATTTAGAGAGAAGAGGCTTCATTCTGGCAACCTTTCTAAGCAGAACATACTAGTTCAGTCTTTTTCTACCTGAACTGTCATGAACCCTATCATTTAACATGCTGAGTCTGAGATGTAGCTCTACAGGTTTTTTGTAGTATCTCTGAGCATTGCACAGGCTGATCTTGGGAGAATTTTCTGGGATGTCTTCTCCTTGGAAGATTATTGCACTGTGATAACACACATCTGAATGCTGCCACCAAATTTTTCGCTTTAATACAAGTGCTAAGGCCCTCCTAACTCCCTTGAACGCAGCACAGATGTGTAGGTTTTTCACATGACTATAGCAGTAGACAGTAATTTGAGTCTTTTAAAGCATTTATAATGAGACCATGAGTCTAGCAGGAAAGATGAATGGCCTGCGCAGGTCAAACAACAGTCAAATTGAACATTTCCACTAATCTCGATTAAACTAAGTCATTAAGCAATTGCTACTACACATCAAACTACACAAAATACACACTATGGTGTTAATATAAGCCCATTACACTTGGCTTGCAGAATTGTTTTTGTTTGCAAATGTGTGTGTCTTTCTATGAATATCTTTTAGAAATGTGTATAAACAAATGCTGTGAAGTTATTTTTATAAAAGATCAAGAATATCAATAAGATCAATGATATATAAAGAAAAATAGTCAGTTTTGCTGTTTTTTGACTACTTTCTTCTTGTCCGTGTGGACACATGTAAAACTCCTTTCAGTCTATTACTCTTCACCTCCTCATTCCTCTTTTAAACCCCCATTTCCATCATGTTAACTGATGCTCTGTTACCAGGCAACACATCAGAGACTCTTTCCTCCCATACTGCACTTCCTTTGCCCTTTGCCCTTTGATCCTGTTGGCTGCTGTGCTTTATTTTACAGTCCTCGTCGACAGAGGTCTCTGATCTGCCAGTACATTAAAAAAAAGACAGATCTGGCGTGGATGTGTATTCCTGCATGTGTTGTGATACATCCAGATGGTCAGAAATGGTTTGGAGAAGCCAAGCAAAAAGACGATGACAAGCTAGGTCCTGAGAGGCAAGGAACAAATACAGAAAACTAATAAACAGTATCCAGTGTCGCTGACCTACAAAGTTAAAGAGTTCGCAACTAATACATAAAGCAGGAGGAAAGCAAGTGTAACAATGACCTATACACAACAAGATTATGGTCAAAAGCAGAATAAGACTATAAAGTAGGACTGTGCACTCGTTACCTCAGATAAAGCTCAAAGTAGAGTGTGATGCTGTAAGGGGTTATGAACAATGATAAACTAATAACCAACACAATATTCTGAGTGGCTGCCAAAGCCTGTGCAAAACCTGGACAAGGCACAATGCTGATCTGTATGAAGAGTGGGTGGTGTGCCCCACTTCAACAGCTCATTAGATCACGACGGCCAGTGCAATGATGAACAAGAGTGATGAGAGAGCATTTATCATGGAGAGAGAGAGACAGAGGGTTCAAGTCCACTCAAAACATTCCTGTGGGTAAGTGAGGATAAAAGGCAAGAGCATTGCATCCTAAATAAAATCATTAATAACTGTCACTCTGACTTTATTGTTCACACTAAATTAAATCTGATATGGAGCACTGTAGCTGGGGTTTTGGTGCAAAGCTCTTAAATTAAATTTTGCAACTGGCTCTACATTGGGTTGGGTTGAAAATAGGCATTCGCATTGTAACAAGGCTAGTAAGGAAATTGTGGCTTTTATTTATATGCCATCTTCTGAGTTTTTGCCTATCGAGCATACAAGACACTCTTCTGTATCCGTTACTTTGTGACATTAACAGTAAATTCATGTGTTTTTTGCATTATATGTTGCAAAAGTCATTTGTGATAAAGGATGTCTTCATCTTTTTGGGTTTTCTTCAAATAACTGACTAATCTAAGTTTAATCTGAGCTGATTTAATAATAAACTTTATAGATGCCTCTGTAAGTAAGACCCTTGTATTCTTTGGTTTCAGTGATTGCTTATCCAAGTGTTATGCAAAACAATTTTAAAAATGCTGTTCTGACATGCTATGTGTACACAGTGGGAATGCCAAAAGAATAGGTGAGGCAATCAGGGTTAGCTAAAAACAGACATCATGTTTGCATCCATCGTGTAACTTCATGCCATCTTTTGGCCATACTTGACTATTGTCTCTGGAACCTAGCTTGACTGCAAGCCTTTCACTCTGCTGTGTATGTCATTTTCCTGGGTGCTGCTAGCAAGAGCAGAAGCCTTGCAAACGGAAACAAGGGAAGCAGTTTTTTGGCTCTTTTTGTGAGCGCATCAAAGATTTACCTGTGATCCTTAATGGAGGATTGTTAAGAGACAATTTTGTGAGTTGCCCCTCCCTCAGCTTCCACTGTTCAGAGATCAGTTATGATACTGCAGTCAGTACAAATCTATAACTGTATAGATGTATATAGAAACTCTAAACTGAGGTAGCTGTAACAAGAAAGCAATAAGAAAATGACACTATGATTAATATCTGAACGGAAACATCTGCTGTGTGGATTTAGGATGTTTTGCAAAGCAGTTTTTAACAACTCCTTTCGCATGCTTGGAAGGACCAGCATCATGACTCAGGTGATGGAGAGTAGGCTCCATATGTGAAGACTACAAAAAGCATCTTCAGATTAAGCTCAACAGGAAACAACAAGCGTCCCTGGCTAATATCTAGCTAGCTATTTACAATGCTTGCTAAAACATAATTTTAAAATCACAGTCACCCTAACCCTTAAGTGAAATAAATCTCAAACCAGTAAAAGCTATACGATCTTTTATTAAGGGCTCTGTCTGCAGGTGCTGGCAGTTGAACCAATTTAGCTCAACTGCAAGGTTATGATGAAAGATGCTAGTAAATTCTGATAACCACCACAGAAAGCAAACAGTTAACCTTGCATGAGTGGATAATGAGTCCGTCTGTTTGCTGTAACTCAAAGAACTGAGACACCGTAAGTGTCAGACTCATTGCAAAAGAAATGGGAGACCTGTAAGTGTTATGTGCATTTATGCAGACTATACTGTAGGCTTGTTGAATTTGATTAAATTGGTGATTCAGAAAAGAATTTTAACAACATATTTGCAACATTTTTCTTATTAATATGACAGTGATTTCACTCCGCCCTAATGTGCACACAAGTACAGCACTATAGCTGCATTTACTTCCTTAGGTAAAGTGTATATAATGGCATATTAAAATCAATACAGACCAAAGCATGACTTCTTTGCAATAACTCATTTTGTTATAGAATAAACTGATGAAAATAAGATGCTCTCTCTTTTTATATGCATATTAAAAGGCATCAAAATTCCCTGCACATTTTCGCATGTCGGGGTATGGACCTGTACGTGCCTATGTTTATGGGTGAATGAATGAGCATTGCGACTCTGTTAACATCTGTATTTTGTATTCGAGTGCTGAAAATGGAAAGTAAATGTCAAAGCTGTAGGCCACCATCTTCCTCTATTTTTCGTGCCTCCTGCAACATTAACTGTCCAATCGCAAGATAATGGAGGGGAAACCAATGTAGCGTTCATACAGAGCAATGCACTACCTCCCTGGTGGATGTGTTTGTGTGTGTGTGGCTGGATGTGAAGAAAAAGGAGAGAGACATTCAGTATTAATTGTGTTTTTAGGTAAGTGTTTGTGCTGCAGTGTGTGAATAGGCTTTCAGTTGTTATGGGCTGAAAGAAAGAAAAATGTCAGAAGAAAAGAGAGATTAAGCTCTCTGGGGAGTCTGTGTGTGTGTTTTTGTGCGTTTTTGTGTGTGGCAATGCATTGTGTAGCCACTGCTTTTAAATCATGGAACAGAAGAGTGGCAAAGAAGAAAAAGCTGCATTCCAACGATACCCGGTGGGCTGGAGGAGGCAAAATGAGGGGCAACAGGGGAAAAGGGGGAGCCTGTTATGCTTCTACGCTTTAACAAACAACTCATAAAACACCTCGACACTGCTGGGAACAATACTGGAGACACAGGAAAA